TATATATATATATATATATATATATATATATATATATATAATTTTTTATTTTAACAAACTTACTGAGTTCTCTTCAGTTCAATGACGTCTTTATCCACGGGGCTCTTATCATCTCTCTCAGCTTTATCGACCTTCTCCGTCGAATCGGTATCCCCGTCTTCCAATTCTTCCATCGTCAGCACTTGACTTCTTCTACGTCGAACTTTTCTGTCTCGCTTCGTCTCTCTTGACTCCTCCGAATCCTCAGATTCTTCTTCCGACTCTGAAAGCTCCGCGCCGTTCTCTTCCAATTGCTTGCGCAACTGTTCAATCTCAACTTGGAATTGACGAAGCAGAGCGTCTTTCGGATCCTCGTTGATTCTCGCGCGGTTCTTGATATTCTTTGCGCGATTCGCGTAACGTAAAGTACTTATAGTCTCATCGTAATTTATGTCTGCCGGACTAATGTTCGCACACTGCAACATCATCAGTAACATTAATTTCGGTAACATTTTTAAGTTTGAAAAAAACTAAAGTGGAATAATTGCATAATATCCATTAAATTAGCAAGAGATTTTTAATATTTTTGTAATAAATAATTACATAAAATATCCGTCGCTACTTACCATCAATGTTTTCGAATTTCCACCCAACGAATCCTGAAGCAACCTGGTCAGTTTGGAATTCCTGTAAGGCACGTGAGAACTTTGTCCATCAACCAGCGCGGATATTACGTTTCCCAATGTGGACAGTGACAAGTTAATCTTAGTGGCTTCACGAAGTCGCACCCCGGTGGCCTTTGTTCTACTTTGTCTTTCTGATCCCTGCAACCCAACAAGTATGAGGAAATACAGAATAAAGAAATTTCAGAAAGGAATCTAAAAGATGTTATATATATATTTGGGAAACAATATTTAGATCAGTATCATTTTTTACGATTGTGTAATATATATATTAAACGTACGGCTAAGTCCACCAAATGGAGTTTCCCCATTTTCACATGTTGCTCTCCATCTTCACCAATCTGACTAGATTCCACGGTAATTGTAAATATCGCATGAGATCTCGAGCTAGATACATTCATGGCAGTAGCACCGACGACGCCTGCATTTGCAAGTTTAGAATTATTCTTAACGTGTTTTACATCAATCTGTTAAACATAACATAACGTTATCACTCACGATTCTTATTGCCAAGCGACATTATACGATCTAAATCGTCAGCATTATTCACAACGTATCCGCTCAAATCCTTCACAAATACACCAATGTCTGGTCTTTCCTTCACCTCCAGCCGAGTATTCTGATCTTTACCGAGAAGGTCCCGAACTTCCTCATTGTAAATTTCCAAGTACGTCGCACGTACTAGAAATCTATCAGTATTAATTATTAATCGTTGATTATTCTCTATGGTTGCTTTTTGATGCAAGGAATATATTTAATCTACTTCAATGGTAAGAGCATCTTAATTATATGTTAATTATCTAATAATCAATTGACTATCTTTAAAATGATCAAATAAAACATATATGAGTCATATAAAGCAAAATATTTGCTTCATATAATTGCAAAAATATATTTAATACTAATGAGAATCTCAGTCTCATTCTATCTTATTATAATAAATGTTACGTTATATCATGTTGTATTATATTGTATACATAATTACATAAAAATATAAAAATATATGCACATATTGTTTGTAGCAACATATATCAATGAATAAATATATCAATGTCTTACTTTTGATTTTCATCAGCTTTAGCTATGTGCCCAAAGATCTGTGCAAATGTGTTTGGAATAATTCCTCTAGCCTGTGGAGAGGTTTTAGCACCTGACATAGTGTAAGTCTTGCCAGTGCCAGTCTGGCCATATGCAAAGATTGTTCCATTGTAGCCCTGAAGTACTTTGTCTACTATTGGCCTGGCAGTCTCGTTATAGATGTCCACCTGTGTGGAATCTGTATCAAACACTGCATCGAAGGAAAAGACCTTTGGTGGCTCTCCCTGTGCTGCATTTGGATTCTCTACAGTGATTTCACTGTTTAATGCATCTACATCTGTTATGTTCTTGCAGTGGCTATCTAGCTCCTTGCTGCTCAAAGGTCGAACTCTCACCACCACCCTAACATTCTCAATTTCTCCTAGCTCTGTAGAGTTATCCTGAATAAACATTATGGACCATGTAAGAATAAAGAAATTTTAATGTAAGTATTATTACTTAGGCTTATATATGCATAATTTTTTATATTAAATATACAATGCAATGTAGGAGACCACAAAATAGTAACATTGATGTTAAATAATTATTAATTTGTTAGATATATCATTAAGAATAATAATTATATACGTATATATAAAATAAAATAATAGAATAATTATAATGAGAAAATTATTATTAGATGCTATAAAAAAGCCTTTCCTTAGTTACAGACTCCCAATCAAGTTTGACGTTTGAGATATCAAATTGACTCATCCTTGATTTGGTAAAACATACATTTGTTGTACAAAATGATACTAACTTCTGTTCCCGGCATTGCGGATCAGTTCTCCCGTAATAATTACATAAAAGCGCACTTTTTTACAGCATAATGCATAAACGTCAAAACACTGTCGAAACGTCGAGCTAGCAGACGACCTCCGTAAACAAATGGATCGATTCCTACAGAGAGGAGCACATATACTTAAGTCTGTTCGTTCTCACGAAGACTTTTGCACTAGTACAATAAATTGGAATGAAACAAGTGTACTTTTGCGAGCATATAACGGAACGCACTCTTGTTAGGTACGGCATTTATATCATTAGTCTTGGGCTACATTGGCAACAGTCATTAGATGTAAAAGTATCAAAAAAGCAAGCAACACGAACAAACTTTAAATAAAGCGGGGAATTCAACCATCGGTCTCATTGGATAATCATACCGCACTTCAACCCCATCTGGAAAGTGGCGGTTCATAACGGAGACCTTGGAACTATTTCAGCCAATCAGAAATAACGAGTCTAATAGACCCCTTATTTTTTAACCAATAGCTTTCGGCCTGTGTTGGATGTTTCTCATGAGTTGGCCATATTGACCGAAAAGGAATTGTGACGCAGCAAGTAACGTATTTCACAAATAGTCTTACGTTATTTGTGCAATTTCGGCTTGTCCAGGATGAATTTCGTGCGTGGATCATCGCTGGAAGTGCCGAATAATTATTAAATATTAAAATGACTTTTTCACCTTCTCGAGTGGACGGGGGAACAATCTGGCTGCGTTCCAAAATCTACTCAGTGGATAGAGTACATTTAATTGACCAATCATGATAAAGAAATCCTAGTT